GTTGATTTGGTACGCACATGTACTTTTCAGTTTGTCCAAATAACTGCAAAAGTGCATGCATTCAACCTCTAGGGGTGCTTTCCATTCAGTGCTCACAATCAAATGTTACTTTGAAAACAGGTAAACAAAGACAAGATGACCTTTATAGCTTCACGTGAGCATCATAACATTATCATTTTGAGAATGTCAAGTGATATCAGACTTTTGCAAAGTGCAGCCTCACAGAACTGTTAGTGCGGACTTGTTGAAACCTTTAATTGTATAATAATGCTGGGGGAGGGTTATTTTTCTAGGTTACAACCATGCCAGCATGTGTACAAATTTAAATTAGGGTGTAGTCTTGATTCGGTAGATGCTAGGTGATATATGTAACCTTTTCACCTCTATTTTGGCTCCACAGCATTAAGCCCAAACTATCAAAGGACTTTAGATGTTCTCAGCTCCTGCTGGGTGAACTGGGTGACATGACTCCACCAGAATTCATTGCAGCCGTAGGGAAGATGAATAATTTCCGTGTGAGCTGGCTTCACTGGAATCATGTTCCTTGCATTAGTTTCACAACATCAGTTAATACAAATAGCTCTTACCAGAACTTGTGTTATAAGATAAAAAATTAACAGCACTGGCTTTACACTTTGGTATTACATCCAAACCTCTCTGAAAAGGGGAAATACGGAAAGGCATCATTGAACTTATGAGACATTCAAGTGAAGTCCGAGGCACGATATGTTGGTCTCCATCTGGATTATGCTAAATTTACAGTCCCTCTTATATTTCAGATATAGAATTAATACTGCAAGAACATGTCACTGCAGCAGATTTGTAGCTGAACAACAAACTTGTTTGCTTTAAGCTGGATTTCCTCTGGGCTGACTCCTCAGGCCTGCTGATGACCTACTTGCCATGAGCAGTGTTGCTGACTTGATGTACCTCAGCTAATTTCTAAAGTGAGGAAAATGTTTAAAAGTTTAAAAGCAGGATGAAGAGGAGGATATTACGAGCTGTAGTCAAAGCCAGATTAAGTTGAATTAACTAATTGTTGAGTGTCACCGCTGCTGACGCAGTGATGGCCTTAGGTTTTAGAGCCTTGAGCCCTCTTATCCTTAGCTGATGTTTGTTACCATGGCAACTAGTTTGTGGATGATACCTAGCTGAGAGCAAAGAGAAATCACAAAAATCAATTTTGCATGTATTTGGCTATGACATGCTGAGCTTTAATTTTCTCTGTGCTTTGTTGAATTCAAAAATGCACGAGTTTATCTAGTGTTTTGTTAAATACAATCAGGCAACACACTGTTTTCACAGTGAGATTTGAATGTGCAAATATGACTCACAGCCCACAAATGCATTAGCACAGGCAAATTTGTTGTAGCCTACTTTTGACCACCCCAACCGGGACAGAATACTCTTTGTTTTGCTGCTGAGAATGAGATTTTTTTCTCGGCTGACTGCTCTTCTGCTTATCCTGCTGAGCGCAGTTTTGCTTTGCTTTATTAACAGAATTTCTCGTGGGATTAGTGAAGTTTGCCTTTGATCAGAAAAGTGCTATTTTAATAAATGTTCATTGTGGTACAGATATATTTTAGATTTTTCTGACTTAATTTTTATAAGAGTAATAATATGGTGTTTAGTATGAGACATACTTTTAAAAATCTTTGCTGATCTCCAGACTGACTCACCTGAAATATTTAACATGTTGACATAAACTGTGGAGTACAAAGTGACGATAGGAATGAAGGCAAGCCGCTTTTCTCGTAGCTTATGTATTTAGTTATCTTGTGCTCTATCTAAAAACAACTTTATTTATGTCATCTGAAAGCTTATATTCTTTAGCCTGTAGCAAGATGCCATACAAGTATAACATTTGTATATTCATGCTGGCATATGTTTTTGCAGCTTAGCACGGCAAAAAAAAGAAGAGTGCATGTTGATTTCATAATCATAACAAATCTTTATCCCTCCTCTGTCACAGCATGTTGATAGCAAGTCTCAGATGTTGGGTATCATGTTCTGTTGTCCAGCCAAGGGTACATTTTATTTCAAATTTCCTGTATTGGTTTTGGTATTTCAGTTTGGAGCCTTTATCCAATAATGTCGACACACCCTGGTTGATTTCATTTTATGGGAATTCCATGAAACCTGAGAATGGGTGAGCAGCATAGGATGAGGTTTAGAAAATGTTATTCTTAGTGATGCAGTACATATAAAAACAGCTTTCCCTTCCTCACACTCAGCTTCACCAGAGCAGAGCCGACAGCGCATAAGTATTTTGGCGCTCTCCCAAGGACCACTATGCATTCCACTTAAGACGGAGCACTGATTTATCTGCACGCCCGCGCCTTTTAAGCTCGGTGAAATCAACACTGGAGGTAGATTTGAGATAGAACGACACCACAAATTCCATGTGAGTGTCATTATATGTCACATGGAGGCCCGGGGCTGAAAACGATGAGCGATCTTCTGCACTGAGGGGAATCAGGCGACAACCTACTGTAACAACACAAGTCTGTTGATTCGTGACTCCACAGTGCAATGAACAAACAAACCCCCCAGGGTCTATTTCCTCTCACCAACACAGTTTTCTCAGAAGGAGGAAGTTTTAGGCTTTCATTTATCTTTTTAGAAGTTCTCACAGCAAAAGAAGAAGTACAAACTTTTTACTTTTGGTTCTAATGTTTGGGAATTTCTTGCCATATATGAAACTTACAGGTCTCTTCAGACTTTCCAACCAGCACTACAATGTGGTCAAAATGACTTGCAACTGCAGTTTGTAGCATGTTACCACAGTAAACTGACATAGTGAGTTTGGTCAATATCCAAATTATCGTTGCCTTACAGAACAGATACCATGGCACAGTCATCTTTGTTTTTATATTTCTCATACACCAAGAGTCACCTTTCTTTTTCAGAATTGTTCAATCGTTGCTGTGTCATGCACACTGATCGTGGCCACAGAAAGATGAGTAAGAACTCTGGAGGCTTGACTGGGCGATGCAGGGTGGGAGCTGAAAGAGACATAGCTTTAGCCAGAGGGATAACATTCTTTCATAGGAGGCAGAGTCAACAGCAAGGAGGAAAAAAACAACATAGAATCAACCTTACAGCTTAGGCATCGTTTGTTTTATGTATTTGTTTTGCATTGTTTGGTGGTGTGTCATCTGGAGTATGTCCAAGGGGTCAATATATAACTCTAGGGTTAAAAATGCAGAAGCCATGAATCATACAAAACTTTCTCTTCCCTGTTTGACCACTGCCACAGCTGGGCCTTCAGGCACGAGTCACTTGTAACAAATATCCACTTTGTGGTTGGCATTGAATTTTACCGCTACATCCAAAAGGAAGTTGTGGTGTGTGTTTATGATTGTGATATTTTTTAGTTACACGAAGAGTGAATTCGCACTTTTTGTGTGCCATGTTGTTAAAACCCTGCATTATGGGCTTGAAAATCATGATTAATAGCTTTCTGCTCGATGATAATTTCTCATGAACTTCATCTGCCAGACATCTGGTAGGCTTAGATTTCTTATGCACACTCACAGTGCCATCTACTGGCTTATATAGGTCTCTACATTTTCATCTGAGAAGCTCCCAATGCTGTGTCATCTGATTATTGTTTCCAGTGATTACTACCTAAATCTTTTCATCCAGAGTGTTTTTAAGGACAAATGATAATTCATTACTGACTGACAGTGAGTGGCGAGCTTGAAAGTATAGATTGAAACCAGGACAAGACTCATGTTGTCTCAGGGAACACCAGACTAGTAATCATCCTTTCATCCTTGGAAATGGTTCTTCAACAGATGGCAGGAGTTATTTCAGGGTAACCCAGCTCACTGCGCAACCAACCTCTTTGAGTTCTGTGGACTTTTTGTGAGTGGAAAGGGTGCACCACTGTTGCTCTGTGCATTCCTCACGTATATTAGTCTGAGAAAACTTACAGGCAGTAAAGAGCACAGAAACCATCGCTGAGTGTAGGGTGTCAGTCATGTGCTATGAGGAGCTATGAGACTATGAGGAGCTGATGTACTCAGGTTGTAAACATTTAATTCAGCTTAGGTTTTGTATCCCTGGTTGTTTTGGGTTTAGACTTTGAAATGGTCACTTGCCTAGCAGGTTTTTTATATGATGAAGTCAAATGTAACTGTTTTTGGAGAGGTTAACATGAGCAAAAGCTATCAAGGTGCAGTGAAAATAATGTTAACTTGTAGGTAAACCTGTTCATTTAGTAGTTTTTATAACAGCTGTATTTTATGTTTTTTTTTCCCAGAGTGGACAAGACATTCGCCAAGGCCAGAAGCATATGGTGAGTTTCCTCCTGTCTTTCCTAAATCAAATTATAACAGAGCAGCGCTCTCCAAAAATAAGACATCCCCTACATTTTTTTTAATTTTAATAAACAAACAGTGCACTAGAATTCATAAAGTTTGCAGCTCTCTAAAGTGATCCTCAATGTCACCGACACAGACAGGCCTCGCACGTTTTAAATGTGTGAATCAGTCCACCGAGTAGAGTCTAAGTAAGATGAATGAGCCTCTAAAAGGTAGAGCAGATGGGCAGCAGTGGGGAAACAGACACCCAGTCCGCCCTGCCATCTCTGCAGTGCTGGCAAGGCTGGAATGCTGCTGTGAGTGGCACATGAAGGCAGGCAGGGGTCTGAGCATGCACACCTCCTGCCACTGCAGATACATGACTCTGTTTTTGAGAGCTTTAGGTGTGGTGGCACGAGTATCTGGCCCTCAGCCCCCCTCTGTCTAAATGCAGCAGATTGAAACAGTGCTTCACCACAGTATCATCACTCCTTCCCTCTGGAATACAGATACAGGAGGATCTCTCTAGCCAGCGAGGCCTGCATTAATCAGCAGTGGCTGGGCTTGTTTGCACAGGCTGCAGTCTGGCCATCAGCTACGGCTGCTTCCGACAGAATGCCCGCACCTCATTGTGAGGACGACAATGAACAACTGGAGCAAAATAAAAATGAAGAGGAGGATCTAAAAGAGGACACAAAACATCACAGGATATAAAAGAATTGTGGGCGTGAAGAAAAGACAGGAGGAGAAAGAAGCTGACTGGATGAAGTGACATGACAAAGAGAAAGTCTGATGTCTGCATTACATCAAAGAGGGAAGATACGAGTTCAGCAGAGTCCCACTTGGTCCTTTCAGACATACTCTTTTAGCAGTCATACTCTTCTTCAAAGCAGGGAAGAATTCAACACACAGTACTGGATGACTTTGGTGGATCCTTTCCACCGAGTTAGGACTTGAATTATATTACATTCTCACACCCAGCAGGACAGATCAATTACTAACAGCAAAACCTGAGGTGCCTGGATAAAGAAACAGTGAATGTGGAATCAGACATTTCATAAGCAGATTCTTTTCTTAACATCAGGTTCTGCACGTTGGACACAATGTGACAGGACATTAGAACAGTGAGTTGAAACATCTGCCTGTAACAGCACAACTCAACAAAATGCCGTGCTCACCTTTCCGAATCGGAAGACCAAGAAAATTTTGGTGAGTTTCTTGTTCACCTGCCTTGATATAGCTTTATCATAACTGCATGACCTACTACTCACAAGCCAAAGAGGGTGCAATATGCTGAGGATTATCTATAATATTTAATTATCCCACTGTTGCTTTTTTGATCATATCAAGATGGCTTAGAACACTGCATGTTTACTCGCTGACTGATGACACCTGGTTGATCTGTTATATGTCTTTAATGTCAGAATTTTTTGTTCGAATCTGATCCTTCAGCTCTTGAAGTTGGTTAAATGTTAAGTAACCATCTTCCAACTGGTCAGTGTGTGTCATACACAACAAACACATGATCCTCAAGCTCTGTTTCCATGCTCTCCAGGGGAGGCCTGTAATTGGTTGTAATCCTGTCTTGCTAAGCTCCCTTGATGGGAGGAAATGGGAGAGGAGCGTTAGTGTGGATAATGGCAATACTGAGATGTTGTATAAGAGCCTTTCTCTTTGTTTCTCTTCTACACACATATGAACATACATCTCGACACAAAGTGCACTCTGCCCCTCTGTCCCTGGAGCATGATGGATTATTGTAGCAGGCTGTCTGTTGTGTAACTCCCTGCCCATTCTTTAAAGCAACTTGGCCACGGATCCCGCTGTCTTATCCGTGCTTCAGCTCACCTGACCTTCATGCAGGACAGGTCTGCACTTTTGAACCACCCTCAGGTGCTACTTTTGTTAGACAGGTTAAAAAAAAATATTTGACTAGATCTTAAAGGACTTGACATCAGATGCAGTAAGAAACAAAGAAGAATCTTTTCTCTTAACCAATCAAATTGTATTTCATCAAAATAAATATCTTTTAACAAAGGCCTAAAATCCTGTTCAGTAATGTGTTTTGCTTATTTTTCAAGCTTCACTATGCAGAATGATGTTTGTGCAACATTCAACAGATGGTCAGATGAAGCCGGAACCTTTATACTGCATGTATTTCGCTCAAAATTTGAATTGTACATGTACAGGATGATTCCGTGACAACTACTTTGGACACAAACTGTGGTCTGATATGCAACTTGCAGAAGTGTAATTTGTAAATTTGAAACCTGGATTTTTCAGAAGTAGGTGTAGTTTTATCTATTTTTTTTTTTTTTTTTTGACCAAGTAGTTGAACTAGTTTTGTGGGAAAACCATATCAGACTTAAGCTATTATTCAAAGTAGGGTATTTGCATATGTTTTAAGACATGTCTGGGAGGCGTTTTTAGACTTAAGCAAAACAGCAGAACACTGTGAAATGTTTGTGTTGATTTTGGGATCCCTGAACTCGCCTCAGGCTGCATGATGTCTCGGTGGTTAGCACTGTCGCCTCACTGTCCCGGTTTGGACACCTGGGATCTTTTGGTGTAGAGTTTGCATGTTCTCCCTGTGCAACGTGGGTTCTCACTGGGTTCTCCAGCTTCCTCCTGCAGTCCAAAGGCATCCATCCATTATCTATACACTGCTTAATCCTCACTAGGGTCACGGGGGGCTGGAGCCTATCCCAGCTGACTTAGGGGGAAGCAGGGGACACCCGGACAGGTCACCAGTCTATCACAGGGCTACACTTAGAGACAGACAACCAAGCACACTCACATTCACACTTACGGACAATTTAGAATCACCAATTAACCTCAGCACCCGGAGAAAACCCACACTGCACAGGGAGAACATGAGATAGATTCCAGGCATCCAAACCAGGACACGAACCGGGGACCTTCTAGCTGCGAGGCCTTGGTGCTAACCACTGAGACACCATACAACCCAGTCCAAAAACATGCTGAGGTTAAATGGCTATTCTAAATTGTCCATAGGTGTGAAAGTGAGTCTGCTTGTCTGTCTCTAAGTGTAGCCCTGTGATAGACTGGCAACCTGTCCAGGGTGTCCCCTGCCTTCACCCTGAGTCGGCTGGGAAAGACCCCCCCCCCCAAAAAAAACAAAAAAACAAAAACAAAAACAAAACAAAACCTGAGGGAGGATTAAGTGGTGTACAGATAATGAATGGATGGATGGATGGATAAACTCGCCCCCTGGTGGTAAAAAGTTGACAACATGCATAGTGCAGGTGCAGTCTGCAATAGTCATAACAATAATTAACAACTTCTAGAATCTTAGGAGTATTGTCCTCATATGGCAGTCTTGACGGGAATAAAGTGAGCAGGATTTTGTGTTCACAGTGATTTAGCTGTGTAGCTAAATAGGTACTGACATTCCAAAAAGGATTATGTTAATGCTGTTGGGTGACCTTGCTATTTATTCAAAATTGGGTGATTTAATTCCTTATTCTATTTTTATGATGCTCTTTAAATTCTAGGCCTATTTCATCCTCGTTGCTTTGTTTCTGCCCATAAAGAGGTGTCATTGTAAACACTCCTTTGTTTGCGCTCACTGATTTCCCATGAGATGCCCTGTGCACATGCACTCCCCACTGCACCGTAAAGCCGGACTGGGTGTCAGTTTTGCCAGTGCACGCTCATCTGTGTGTGTCAGGCTGAGCTGTCTGGAATAGCGGACATTGTTGGAGAGCAAACTGTCAAACCCGATCAGAGCAGGCTGTCTTTCTGTGAGTCTCCTGCTGTCTGACCAAATATAGCATAGAAGTGACAAGCTCGCCCCTGGTTCTACCCGTTTCAATAATCCAAGTCCTAACATGTTATCCCCCATCCAAAACCAGCACAAAAAACATAAAACTCAGACGAAAGAAGGTTGTTGAAGGCTGAGATGAGCACCGGGCAGCTTTGACAGGACTTTTCCCTTTTACTTTATCTTATTCTTGGAGCTTTTCAGTATCAAACTTGTTCTGCCAGCTTTTTTTTTTTTTTTTAAGTTTGCCTCTTTGCCTGCAGACATTTTTGTTGCAGCTGCAGCATCTTCTGCTTCAGAAGACAGGGCTTCAGGTATTAAAGAGGCAGCCAAAGTCTTTATTCTTTCAGTTTGGGGATGTGTATATCCCTGAGTATATATATTTGGCGATGACTACATCCCTTGTGGAGGTTCTATACTGACAGTTCTCATGCAGAGACACAAAAGAGCACAAAATGATTCCACAGTGACCTTCTGTTGTTGAAAAGGCGCATCTGCATGACTGTGATTTCCCCGGTGGGCATGTTTCAAAGGAAATCTGCACACTGACACTGTGAGAGATAAGCAAGCTGGAAATAGGGACCCATCGGTAGAGTGAACATGCCTTATTCAACAACACCTGCCATACCTGGATTTTAATGCTCACTGAATATGGCCAGCTGTGAGGGGAGGTGTGGGGTCAAGAGAATCCATCAAAGAGTCTCCTCATGCATTAGATCCTGCAGATGATTTATTATTTATAATTCCCAGCGTGTAGCATTTGGCAATACAGCTTTTTTGAGTATTTTTCATTTTTTTTATGATTTTTTTATTTTTTCTAAATGCAATAGTGTAGCTTAAAATGTACTCATATCTTCATGTAAGAAAAGTTGATGTGTTCTAGTTTGTTGATAAGGACTACTGATTAAGATTTCCATATCTGACTGTTTGTATAAAAGGGCTTTTAGAGGTTCAGTTCCCTGGGGAACAAAAAGCTTCTCAGACTTATCTGCTTTTTTGAATTTTATCCAATATTTGCTTTGGTCTGATTGTGGCAGCGGTCAATTATATTGGACGAAAAGGTCACAATGATTTTGCATTTTTCAAAAACAGAAAATTCATACGTACAATCTAAAGGGCAGACAGACTAAAGCACTTAAATAAAGCTGACTCACAAGATGGTTTTTATTCTGTTGCATATCATGTATGTTTATGCAGCTAAATTATGGGCCT